CTAGCCCTGTTCTCACATTTTGGATTGGGGTAGGGAGTGAGATCCAAGTTCCAGCAAAAGGTGACCCTCCTTAGACTGTGGATATACATGTATTCATTCCCCCTTCCTTCTGGGCTAGAGAGGATGTTCTGTGCTGATACAGGGCAACAAAGGAAAAAAAAAATAATGGACAGCTCTGCAGGATTCTGGGTAAGAAGAAATGCAGCATGTCACACACACCTTGTGCTATGACATACTCTTCATGTTGCAGCTAAGCAGGTGGCTTCCTCCCAGCTGCAGCTGCAGCCGTGGTTGCTCTCAAATGGAACTTCTTAAAAGCTTATCACCATCGGAGCCGTCCAGGTGCCTGGGCACCTTGTGGGGATGCACAAGAGATTCAGGTTTTTAATTTACAACCTCATCTGCTTACAAAGCAGTATCACTGTTTGGATGAGAGAAGTGGAACAAGGTCTTATCATCCACTTGGAGGTGCTTGTCTGCACATCTAGCCCTTGGGTTGGTCAGGGCCTGCAGAGCATTTCTCTTTATGATGCCCCCAGTGCTGCCTGACTTTTCAGATCCTCACTGTTCGGCATGATTTTGTTAAAAGTTTCTTTCAATTTTTTAAATAAACAGTTGTATTGGGTCTGGCTGAGATGGAGTTAATTTTCCCCCTAGCAGCCCTCATAGTGCTGTGCTTTGTATTGGTAGCTAGAAAGGTGTTGATAACACACCAGTGTTTTGGCTGCTGCTGAGCAGTGCTCCCACAGCATCAAGGCTGTCTCCGATGTTTCCCCCCTCACCCAGTAGGCTGGGCGTGGGGAAGATCTTGGGAGGGGAGAAAGCCAGGACTGCTGACCCAAACTGACCAAAGGGATATTCCATACCGTATGATGTCTGCTCAGCAATAAAAAGGGGGGCGGGGGGCATTTGTTATTATAATGTTTGTTTTCTGGAGCAACTGCTATGCCTGCTGAAGCCCTACTTCCCGGGAAGTGGGCAGACATCACCTGCTGATGGGAAGTAGCGAATAAACCTTTTGTTTTCCTTTGCTTCCACACGTGGCCTTGCTTTTGCTTTATTAAACTGCCTTTATCTTGACCCACGAGTTCTTTTCCGTCTTATTTGCTCCCCACCTGCCCTGCTGAGGAGGGGAGTGATAGAGCAGCTTGGTGAGCACCTGGCATCCAGCCCAAGGTCAACCCACTACAGCAGTGAGTCCTGTACCTGTTGCAGTTTGTGCTCTATGACACAAACTGGGGGGGAACGTCTCCTGTTGCTGTCTTAAAGCTGCTGTCACTTGCAAACACAAAGATGGACACTAAAAGGGGGACATGAGTCTTGCTGTGTTTCTCTTGGGTTCCATCTTGGTGCTGGCTTTTCCTCCTCTTCTGTTTTGCAATAGCTGATGGCTGATGTCAGAAGGAAGTTGCTTATAAAGTGTACGGGTGCTCTGAATAAGACAAGTCCTTATGTTTCACATCATCAGGTTCTAGGAGAACTTTCCCTATCCTGCCACCTGTTCCACAGTCGGAGCAGTGTATAAAGCAAAACAAAGGCCCAGTGTGCACTTCAGAGAGTGCCAGGAACTCCCTTCCCCGTGTTTATGACAGGCTTTCTTCCCATTCTAAGAGCATGGCTGACACTCTCTAACCTGTTCTTAGGGTCCAAACAAGGGACCAGAGGAGATGAAAACCCTTTCTGATCTGTCCCCAAGAACCTCTCAGCTAGGACAGGTAATTCCAATGAACAAGTTAAATTCTGTCTGTAAATTGGGTTTGTATTATGTAAATAATAGCAGCTGCTCCCTGCCCAGTCATGTGTAATCATCATTTTTCATGCATTATCTCATCCAACATAATAGAAACTGTTGCACACCCATCTGCAGACCAGGCATACAATTTAAGTTAGTTTAACACTCACATTACCCTGTGTCCTGGTTTCGGCTGGGATAGGGTTAATTTTCTTCCCAGTAGCTGGTACAGTGCTGTGTTTTGGATTTAGGAGGAGAATAATGTTGGTAACACACCGATGTTTTAGTTGTTGCTAAGTAGTGCTTACACTAGCCAAGGACTTTTCAGCTTCCCATGCCCTGCCAGCGAGAAGCTGGGAGGGGGCACAGCCAGGACAGCTGACCCAGACTGGCCAAAGGGCTATTCCATACCATGGGACGTCATGCTCAGTGTATAGACTGGGGGGAGTTGGCCAGGGGGTGGTGACCGCTGCTCGGGAACTGGCTGGGCATTGGTCAGCGGGTGGTGAGCGATTGCATTATGCATCATTTATTTTGTATATTCTTTTATCATTATTATTATTATTATTATCCCTTCCTTTTCTGTCCTATTAAACTCTCTTTATCTCAACCCACGACTTTTACTTTTTTTTCCCCGATTCTCTCCCCCATCCCACCGCAGGGGGCGAGTGAGCAAAC